TATAATCCATGGGATATTTTAGGAAGGACATTGACAAACTGGAGTATGTCTAAAGAAAATCAATTAGGATGGTCAGGGAAATTGAAATCATGTCTCATAAAGGTCAAGCTGAAAAAAAACTAGGGATATTAAGCCCAGGAAACAGAAGTTTTAGGAAGGATATGATAGTTATAGCTCCACTAATGAATTATTCTGAAAACTCATGGAAAGGAGATGACTTTGGATTCTCAATGGCTATGGCAGCACAACACACTTAGGGTAGTTCCTACTAAGCCTAGGGATGGAGGATATGTCTGTCTATTGTCCAAGGACAGGCCTAAGGTCAGACAGGCTCATTAGAAGATTAGCCAGCAAATAAAATTTTTCTGTCATGTAAACTCTCAAAGATCACCTACTACATTTTAGAGGGGCTGTAATCTGCATCAGTGAGGAAAAGTACCTACCCATTAGACATTACAGATCCTTAAAATATTAGAGTAGGATTGTTGTCATATGTTTGAATTACCAAAATATGAACTATGGGTGGAAGTTACTGGGAGGCAGGAATTTCTTCCTTATATTGGGCTAAAATGTAGACAATTAGTGTTGTCCAAGAACAGAATGAGCAGCTTTTTAAGATAGTGAGTTCCCCATCTCTGAATATATCCAAAGACTGAATGACGATTTGTCAGAAATGGTCAAGGATGCTTCACTTAAGAATTTGAACTACATGAAGGTCCTATACACCTGTAAAATTTGTTGTGACCATCATTAACTCTAGGAAATGTAAATGTGTTTTAAAACTCAAAATTAAAAGGCTTTAAACTTTAAAAATGAAAAGGCTTTAACACTTTCTTAAGTTGAGATGGGACTAAAGTTTTCCATTTACAGAATGAGGAAGAATATTTACAGTTGACCTATATTCTGTGAATAGCCATTAGAAAATTAGTAGGCATATTGGTTTAGGTATTAGGTTGTGATAAATACAACACAGGTACAATCTTACTGAGATGGACAGAGCTCACTGTTTAGGGTTGTGGGATGATGATAATGATGATGATGGAAAAAAAGGGGTCTTCAAAATCATAGTCTAAGACATTCTGAGAAATAACTGCTCTAGTTTTGATTTGTGAGGGATAGCTTTGTTTCAATGAGCTGGGATGTTCGTCCCAAGCTAGTAAAGTATCTGACTCCCATGCCAAGCGTAGTCACAGTTTGACCAAAGGAACTGTCTTGCTTTCCCTCCCCTTCCAAGGTAGTGAGTGTCTCATCCTTTTAAGGCTTGATGACATTTGGATACTATACTGCCACCAGGTGGTTGGTAATTAGGAAGTTAAAATTCCAGTGGCTATAGCCTCCATAGCCTCCATTTCCCATTCTCATCTCCTCTAGGGTTGGCACTTTATTTTCTATTACAGGCCCACTATCCTAATGATGTCCCTAACACAAATCTAGTTCTCCGCTCCCTGACCTCCACAGTTTCAATGACCATTTTTACCAGGAAAGGAAAGATTTTTCTAAAGTTGCTTTGTTTTCTTACTTTGCTCAAAGAACAGAAAACTGAGGTGGGGTGGGGGAGGGGACTGGGAAGGAAGAGCAGATTTCTGGGTTTAAAAGAAAGTCACATTCTGGAGGAAGTGAGGCATGTCAAAGGACTAAAATTGTAATAGAAGTGCACATCTAGATATAATTCTTAATTCTTAGGCTGTATGTAACATATGTATCTATATGTAACTATCAAATATTGAAATATCTATGAAAAGTAGAAAATAAAAGCATGAAATCATTTATCCTTTAAAGTGTTAGCAAAAGTTTTGTAACTTCCCATGTTCAGTTTTTTCCTAATGGAAGAATTTTCTTCCCCTAATTAATAAAACTATCTTCAAAAAAAGAATTTAATTTTAGTCCTAGTGAGAGGGCTCTGGCTAACTGCATGCATGAAATGACTAGATTGCCAGGAAATGGCCAAGTGGAAACAACTTATGAATAATGGCATAATTCACTAAACCTAGCCTCTGCTTAGAAAACATGGTTGAAAAAAAACATGCCACCTTTGCTGGTGGCCAATTATAGAATGCAACCTTTTGATTTGTCTCACAGAAGGCCTAGCAAACATTTTGACAGAAAGTAAAATGGTGCAAACTAATCTTCTATCAAGCAATTCAATAAGCATTTATTAAGCAATTACCATGTGCTGGGCACTGGGGATACAAAGACCAAAGCCCATAAGGAGCTTACATTTAATAAAAGACATATGTACATATTGGTAGATACAGAATAAACACAAGGTAATCTAGTGGTGCTTGAGCTGAGTCATGAAGAAGGAAGTAATATTCTAAGATTCTAAGATTTCCTCATTTATTTTGCTTTTATGATGCTGGAATTCTCACTTGGTACAAATTAAAATTCTGAATATACTCTGTGTCTTAGATCCTCTGCTTAGATTATAAGCCCCTTTTACACCTCCCTAATCCAACCAGTTGCCATGTTGTTGAGTTTGCCTCAACATCTCTTGCTTGTATGAGGGAACTGTTCAGTGTTTATCACGAGCAAAGCACTGTGCTAAGTGCTAGGGATGCAGATAGAAAAATAGACAATCCCTTAGGATCCTAGCCTGAGAACTTGAAGAGATCTTGGAGGCCAAGTCTGATCTTCTCATTCTACCTGAGGAAACTGAGGCTCATGGAGGGGAAGTGACTTGTTTGGACCCCAAATCCTTCTCTCCATTCATACACCACCAGCCAAGTTCAGACTCTAGTCACCTTACTGGTCTACTCCTAATTAGTCTCCCTACTTCCAGTCTCTCTCTTTTCTGATGTAGTTGCCAAAATAATCTTCCTACAACACAGTCATGACTTTGACATTTCCCCACTAAGAAACCTTCAATGACTCCCATCTGACTTTAGGATAACATACAAATTCCATAAGCCTAGTTGTGTTGAGACTTTAGATCCAGCAGGCCACAGACCTGACCATGTTCCTTCTCATCTCTTACAATACTGAGGAAATTGAAGCACCTGAGCTCCCTTTTTTCTCCTCTTCAACTCAAAACCTACTGACATCCTCCCTCAGTGTCTCCTCCTTTCCTAGACTGCTAATGAGGTGGGCCTCCTTGCCAAGGTCAAATCTTCCACAGGTGAAATCTTGACCCCGTTCCTCCCACATTTTTCAGCAGACTGCCTCAACTATCCTTCTCTCATTAATCTACAATTTCTTTCTACCTATTGATTTCAATTCTCCTTCATCCTTCAATAGATACTGCCATTCACTTCAAGCTTTCATCCTATACTTCTCCCTTTCTGTTAAACTCCTAGAAGTAGCCTATGCTTGTTTCTACTTCCTTTCCTGTCACTAACACCTTGTGATCTGGTTTTGAACCACATCACTCAACTGAAATCGTCCTCTCCAAAGTTACCCATGGGCTCTCAGTTGTCAAACCTGGTGGTCTTTTTTCATACTCATCCTTCTCAACTTCTTTGCTTGATCTGACAACGCCTACCATGATCTCCTTCTAAGTCTCTCCCTCTTTGGGTTCTCCTTTTACCTGACCACTTCTCACTCTCCTTTGCTGACTTATCACCCCCAAAGTCAGTTCCTTTATCTCTCATCTCCCTGTAATCCTTCCTCACTGCTGTTTCACAGAATTCCTCCCTTCCTTTTCCCCCGCCACTGAATAGTATTTTATTTTTTCCAATTACATGTAAAGAGTTTTCAATGTTCCCTTTCCTCCTTTCCTTAAAAGACATAATTGAAGCATCACCTTCAAATGTAACCTTTTCTGATCCCCTCAATTTTGAGTGTCCTCCTTCCCTACCATGTATTTACTTACTTCGTATTCATCTTTTATTTATTCTACATATATTTCTTCGGTATATACTCACATATAATCTCTCCTCTGATAAAATGTAAGCTCTTTGAGGGGACTTTCATTTTTGTCTCTGTATCCGTGGTACAATACCAGGCACACAGTAGGTGCTTAATAAATATTTGATTGATCTTACCTCCTAGATATTTTTCTTATCAGTTACTGTGCAGGTACATCCCTCCTCACTCCCTGCTTTGCACCTTTTGCTCTGGGAACTCTCTTCAAATCACCACTGCTTCTAGAAAGGGCATGGCAATTAACTGTCCCGTAATTCTACTCATCATCTCTGTTACTTCCCAAACAAAAACACCTCTCACTGGCCACCAATCCCCTGTAAGTACTGTCTCCTCCTATTAGAATTAGTAAGCTTTTTGAGTCAGAGATTCTACTTTTGTATTTGTATCCCCAGAGTTTGGCACAGTTCTTGGAACATATTAAGCACTTAATAAATGCTTTCTTATTTAAGACCCTCCACAATCTGGCACTCACCTCCTTTCCAGCCTTATTTCATACTACTCTCCCACATGAACTCTGTATTCCAGCCAAAAGTCTATTTCTCTTATGTAATCACACAAACCATCACTGTGGCTGGTCTCTTTTCTTCTCCATCTTTCAGACTCCTTCCTTCAAGGCTCAGCTCAGGTGCAGCCCGTGAGGTCTCTCCTAATTCCTCTCCACCCTTCAATTTTCATTGTACTACATACACTTGTGCACATGTTGTCTCTTCACAGTAAGGTCCTTGGGTACAAGAATTATCTCATTTTTACCTTCATATCCTAGCACCTAGCACAGTGCTTGGTGCATAACCGGTTTAATGTTTATTAAATGTATCTTATGTTACTGATGTTACTAGTAGTAGCTCTTGTTAAAATGGTTTTACAATTCATATTTGGATCTTTAAAATATCATATGTAACTTTGTATCTTAAATTAGTTACATAAAACACATCAGTCAAGCATATATTTGAGTGAACCCATTTTTTAATTAAAAAAAAAAAACACCTATTCAGATCTGTACTCATTTTGAGGTGATCGATGACACAATGACTTCCTGCGTGTGTTCCATTTCCTTCTTGGGGTGCCTTTTTCCCACCCTTCCCTTTTAGAAGAATGGTATTACATGAACAAAGACATAAAACTCTACTACCAAGGAAGTCTTTGGGGGAACATTTTCTTGCATTTGGGAAGAATAAAGACTAAGTAAATAAATTCATTCTTAGATTTAGAGGAAAAAAACAGATACAGGCGCCCAACTCTCGGGGAGTCTGCCCAGCACCAGTCATTAACAGACACTTCAAGAGTCAGTGTTTACTTTATGCAACAGTCCAACACAAAGATGACACTCACGATTAAAACTTTAGGGACATGGCCAGGAGTTCATCCAGCTCCCTTTAAATAAAAAAAAAAATCTCATTAAACATCTCCTATATCACAAATAAAACTAGTCCCCATCTTTACTATCTGTTGTTGAAGAAGGGTTTCTAGGAAGATTTAACAGCTCTTCAATTCTCTCTGCATCTCTTTCTGATTGATTTTTCCCTATGTTACTTTGAAATTCTTCAGTGACAGCATCAGTAACAAGTAGCCTAGCCTTCCTGCAACAAAAGAAAAGAGACAGATCAGATACAACTCTATTTCTTTACATCATTTAAAAAAAAAAGTGCCTGGCTTCTGGTTCTTATATAATGACATGATGAATGGTGGTTTGAACTTCGTCTAATGGGCAAGCACTGCTATTTGCTTGACCTAGGGCACTGCTGCTCACTGGTCCTCTGCCAAACAGCTTAATATGAACCCCTCAATAGCAGGTCAATGATTTCTTGGTTTTCAACTCCCTATAATCATTTTTGTTCTGGCCATTCTTGGGTTACTATTCTTAGCAGAGAAAACAGAAATAAGAATTGAGTAGTTCTGCTCTCAATCACCTATACTTGTAATCCCAACTAAGCGAAAACCCAACTAAGCGATCTCTATCCCTTCTTAGTTCATCTTCTTTTCCTCAATATAGTTTAAAAAACACGCAAACAACCAACCTGAAAGGCCCTTAACTCTTTTTCTTGTACCCAGACTTCATTCACTGAATGTTCCTAACACCGTTTCCTTAACATCTCTGATTGGTTTTTCTGTTATTTTCCTTCTCTTCAATTAGCTCAGTAAGAAGTACAAATTTTGCATTTTTTTTTAATCATTTCATCCTCCTCCCAACTGGCCTTTCTACAATTTGCCTTTAGAGTTTGCTCAAGACCCTCTGCTGCGGTACTTTACTGCTGATTCAAATTACTGCCCTCTACAAATTCCTCCACTAGTCACGTGCATCTTATCCTGCCCATCCTCCTTTCTAAGGTTTTCAACAAATGATTTTTAATGATCCTAATTAAAGTAAAAAAAAAAAAGTCAGAGAATACCTATTTTATCTTTTTGGTGCCTTTATAGGTCTGTGATGTTATCAACTTATATTTATAAATTCAAGGTTTTCAAAGCATTTTCCTTATAATAATCCTATGAAGTAAGTAGTAAAAGTGTTATTAGCCTCATTTTACAAGTGGGAAAACTAATTCAGAGAAGTCTAAGTGATTTACTCAAGGTATTAGAATCAGGATTCCAAGCCAAACTCGGAGCATTTTCCACAATTCCCTACACCGGATCTACTTACAGCACAGTTTTTCCTCTTTTACAAACTCTTTCTCAAAATTCACTTCTTGAAATAGCTTCTCATTATGGCTACAGTGCCAGAGGACCACATAGTAAAATTCCAGTTCTCTATTCCTATCCCATTTGGCAGAAACCACATCTACCTTCTAAATTCTTTGTCATTCCAAGATTCCTTTTGACACACAATAGGATAAAATAAAATAGCTAGCTGCATTCTTCAAGCCTTATGGCTTTTCCTGAGCTTTCATCTTTATTGCAAGAGGGTTCAATAAAATAAACTCTTTTACTGGGCTTTCAAAAGAACTGGAAAAAATATTTCTCTTCATAACACATCTTCTAAATTCTCTCTGAGTTTCCCAAAATGTCAGTGAAGGAGATTCTCAGCATCTGGAGAAATGTAAACTCTAGAATGTCAACAGCGAAGTGATAAGTAGGAGGATGGGCATCAGCTCTCCAAATCTAAGTAAAGTTCACTCCTTGTCTCTTTTCCTTTAAAGTTACTTCTTATATAAAGAGGAAAAGGAAAAAAAAAACCATGCAGTCAAATACATCAAGCCTGTCTTTGCTTCTCCTAACAACAAAGTTTCACACTCATAAAGAGCCTCATCATATTAGAGAGAAAAATTACAACCCTATCATTCTTTCCATCTACTTTCTATTTGCATTATGTACATTTACTCATTTATTTTTAACCAGTTCTGTGATTTTTTATGGGGGCAGGGAACTCTTGGTGAGAAACTTCCTTTCACCATGCAGGTTGGCACCTCCCCTGCCACTGAGTCTTACCTGGGGCCATGGGAAGTTAGGGGACCTGCCCAGACATACACTGTCAGTGTATGTCAAAAGGTGGCATTTGAACCAAGGTCTTCCTGATTTCAAGGCCAGCTCTCTATCCATTATATTATACTGTTTTTCATAACAGAAATAAACATAATAAATGTATTTTAATTTTTTGTCATTTACATTTTAAAACTTTTTTTTACTCAATATATTTTAGAGTCAGATGGTAAAATTAAAAAGCGTCTCTGAATGCAACAACAATGACTATCTGACACTGACTGGCAAGAAGCCCAATGAAGCCTGAGAGCTGAGGCTGGGCACCTTCCTTCCTTACCACTCATTCAACTTTGACTCATACAGTTCTTTTCGATCCTTCTGTTTTCTGTCCCAAACAGTCTCCCCTTGAAACTTCTGTATGGCCATGAGTGTAATTCCAAAAGGAGCACTGAGGTGAAGAAGACAAAGAGAAATTGCTCAGGAAAGCTAAACGGGCACATGGACAAACATTCAACAACCACTTTTTCATGATGTTTTGCTTAGTCATTTAGGGTTTAATAAGGGTTTATTATTACTTTGTTTCATTTGTTCTGTGAATTGGTTGGTTGGGTTTTTTTTGGGGGGAGGGGAGCAGGTAGAGGGAATAAATGCAATTTTATAACACAAAAAATATTAACCAGGAGCCTACGTCAACAATTAGCTAAATAATGATCTCAGTGGGAATGCCTACAACTCCATAGTGCTGTTCTTCCACTACAAAAAGCCTCTATTGGTACTTGTGACAGTTGAGATCACAATCAAATAAAGGAAAACTAATGAAACAGCTCTCTATGTAGTGGCAATAACAAAGAGAAAGTCGGGGAGATTGCCTGACAGGTAAAAGATATCACACCTAGAAGCAGGCTCTATGATTCATTTTCACAGGAGAAAAATAAACCAGAATTATGAAAATACGTATTTCTTGAGAAAAACCTATTAACAGCCTTAGGTTGATGGTATTAACGGACCCATTAAAGGAGAGCTGGACTAGCCCTTAAAGATACATGAGTAGAACCGCCTCCTTGTAGGCTGAGCCACACTAAGCACTTCATTAGACACTGCCTTGCGTGGACTAGTTCTGTGAGTATGCCTGGTTGTCTCAAATAAACCAGGAGCTTCTGCAGAGAAGGAGCTGTGCTTTATTTTCCTTTCCTATTTCCTCAGTGCCTACAAGTGTTTTTTGTACACAGTAAGCAACCAACAAATTTGCATTAACAAAAGTATTCAAAAGAAGCTGGATAACCACCTGTCAAGGATGCTACAGAAAGGGTTTTTTGGTGGTACCGTTTCAGAGGCTGGAAGAGATGACTCTAATGTCCTATACAATTCTAAACACTATGATTTTATGAATCTATAAATACCCAAGGATATAATGCATGTGATAAGCATTACATGGGTCTTCAAAGTATTCTTAAATATAGGATGTCCCAAAAGTCTTAGTGAAGTTTTAATTACTAAAGCTTAAAATTGCATTAAGATTATTGGGACACCTTATCTCTATCACTCAAAATTGTATTATGTCAGTGCATAATCACAGTATGATGTTAATAGCAATTTTAATTTGTGGCTTTCATAAGACCCATCACTTTAAATAATAAAATATTAGCTCTTTGAAAGGATCATAGATTTAGATCTGAAAGGGGCTTTACAGGTTATCTCATTCCACCTTCTCATTTTAAAGATGAGAAAATTGAGACACAGAAAGGTTAGGTGACTTGGCCAAAGATCACACTGGCAGTAAGTGCACAAACTGAGATTTAAATCCTGCTCTGATTCCAAATCTAGCACTCTTTCCATTTGACTACACTGAAAGCAGATTATGATCATAAAATAGCTCTATGATACTCCAATTCAGACTGGCATTTGTTTACATCTCTGTAGTTTTATTTTATCTAGCAGACAACAGTTGGATTGGTAAGAAAATCTGACCAAAGGTTGCCTGAATAGGGAAGTATTTTTTTTTAATTTGACAGAAGTTAACTTTCACCTTTGACAATTATTAAGCAATCTTTATTAAAAACAGCTTCTGTCACATTTAAATATATTTTTCCCTATATCATACTTCAAATATAAAATAAAAAACTAACTTAAATTTATTTTCCTATGCTTAACTACAAACCATTTAGTTCAAACTTTGTTTCTATTTGTTTCAAATAGTAAATGGTATTTAACTAGGAATCACCTCTACTGAAGTCTGTCAAGAAAAAAAGGTGGAGGTAGAAAAAAGGGATTGAATTAGTACTGAACTATCATTGTATGTTTACACAAACAATATTTCAAAAGTGATAGAAGGACCCTGTCACTCTAAGAATTATGATCTTCAAGTACTCTAAGGATTAAATTTTTAACCTGTGGAATATATCATAAGGCATTAAGTGAAAATATGCTAATTTGGACACAAACCATGTAAAACATACCCCAGAATGGCTCCAATTATACCACCAGCCACCAGACTACTCAAACCCAAGTGTATTCTGAAAAGACTTCCTGTAGCAGCTATTAAAAAACAGAAAAGAAAGGCAGATTTTAAATTAAACACTGGAATTAAAGGTCTCAGGCCTCTCATACTTTTTTCTTTCATATGGTTTTTCTTCTGCTAAAATGGGCACATTTTAATTGGGCACATTGGGCACAAATTGGGCACACCAAGAAATTCTGTTTGGTTTTTTGGTCAATATTCCATCATGAGCTATATAGTTCCAATATCTCTATTATCTCTATATTGATCTTTTCATGCTTTCTTGCCTATTCAAAGGGCTCTTTTTTTTCTTACATCATATCTAAAACTGTTTCACTCATTCTCCAAGTACCATCCCTTCCTATTTCCTGTATGACCTTGCTCCTATTCTTCCTTCTCTAGCATCTTCAACCTCTTGCTATCCATTGGTTTTCCCTCTTCCGTCTCCAAAGATGCAGCAGCTTTCCCATCTTAAAAAAAAACTTTATTTGACTGAGTACCAACTTCACCATTTACTAGATGTGTGAACATGGGCAAGTCAATAAACATTATTGAGTTTAAAATGAAGACAATAATACCTGCCCTACTACTTCAAAGGGTTATTAAAACACAAAGATTTTATTTTTCCTTTTTCCTCCATTTCTGACTTACAGCTCAGCTAACTCTACCATTGGCAATCTCCTCACACCTACATACTCTTTAATATTCTTTTTGCTTCCTTTTTTCTTTCTCTGACTCTTAGCCAAACAACTCAGGGGAGAAAAACACTTTCTCCCTCCTTCCCATTCTTTTCATTTCATTTTTGCATCCCCTGCCTCCAAATGAAGTTACTCTAAGACTGATAAGTGTAAGAGTCTTGCTTATGAAATGTCTCTATCAAGGAAAAGACAACATAAGTTTTGAAGAACAGTGTTGGCATCCAAAAGAATCCTTGAAAGTTCACTGATGTTCCCTGTTGAGTAACCCCAGAAATTTCTAATTGCATCCTCACTTTTCTATAGCCCAAACTGCTGATTCCAAAAAATTTTAGATGTTAGAACTAGACAGCATCTACTCAAACCCTCTCACTTTAGAGATGAGGACATAAGGGTTAGAGAAGTTAAGTGATATGACCAAGGTTACAGAGCTAGTTAGTGGCAGGTCTGGGGCAAAGACCTAGCTGGAACTAGAACCCAGCCACTTTGAGAAGCATTGTAGTATGACTGAAAGCTGAATTAGGCATCAACAGAATCTGAGTTCAAATATCTCTGCCACTAAATGCCTGCATAATCTTGGGCGAGTCACTTAATCTCTCTGCCTGTTTCTTTACCTATTTAAAAAAAAAGTGACTCTGGGCAAGTCACTTAACCCCAATTGCTTCATCAAAAAAACAAACAAACAAACAAACAAACCAAAAAAAAAGGAAGTGTTTGAGGTAGATGACCTTTAAGGTCCCTGTAAACCTCTAAATTTATGATCCTATGTCCCCAGTCCAGACTTTTCCTCCTAAGTCTTCTAACTTAAAGTCTAGAATTTTTCCACTACTACCAACATGATAAGATAAGCTTTAAGATATATTTATTTAATTTTGTTTGCTTTCCTTATTAACTAGTATTGTTTTCTAATTTTTTGTTTTTTACCACGAACGTAACTACATTATGGGTGAACAAGGCTTTTGTGGGTTTGTCCGGCAACCTAACTATTTATAACATTTTATTCATTCAAACATGTATTGGTTGCCTCCTATGTAGAAGGCACTATGCCAAGCATTGAAGGAAATTCAAGGATAAATAAAATGATTCTGAGTTAACTTTAATCAGGTCTTTGTGGAACAACCCTTCTTCTTTTTTTTTTTTTTACCTCTTGATAAGTCTCCCAGCAGTTACTCCAAACCATTCCCTTCTCCTAACTCTACTCCTCCCCAGTCCTTTTCTCAGATGACTGACCTCATTTAGCTCTCCTCCACACCAAAAAACAAAACAAAACAAACAAACAAAAAAAAAACCACCAAACCTCCCCTCAGTGTCTTGACCCATTCTCTCCTTTCCTTTTATGGTCTCATGGAATGAGGTGGTCCTCTCTGCCAAGGCTAACCTACCCATCTTGGTCTTGGTCCAACCACCTTTCATCCCCTCCAAAAGTGTCCCACTGCAGAATTACACAGAAACTGAAAACTGCCAAGGAATTTAGAGAACACCTAGTCTAACCCATCAATTATCCTCATTCTCTTTTAGCTTCAATACTGGCTCTTTTTCTTCTGCCTTCAGATATGCTCAGGTCTCTCCTATCACTAAAAAACAAACACAAACTTTTCCTCATTCATAGTCTCTTCTCAATATCTTGTACTCCCATCATCACTGAATTTCTAGAAAAAGCAATCTAACTATTAATTATGGAATGGCTCAACAAACTGGGGTAGTAAGGGAATTGAATATTATTACAACATAAGAAATGATGACTATGAATTCAGAGAAGCACATGAAGACATGTATGAAGTATAATGCAGGATGAGGCAAGCAGATCTAGAAAAACAATATATGATAACAATAAATGTAAACAAAAAGAAACCTAAAACAAAGCTGAATACTGAATAACTGTCATTCCCAATTTGACACTTGAGAAGAGATGAAGGCGTGCCTGTCCCTTCTTCCCTTAGAGATGGAGATGCTAAAGGTTGCACGCACTGTTAGACATGGTTACTATGTATATAATTGTACTTAACTGTTCTCTTGTCACAAGGGAAGGCAGACTGGGACAGAATGAAAACACAGAAAGGCACTCCTTCTACCATGAAAAATAACTATTGGTAAAGGGAATTAGAGAGAAGTCTCCAGAAGGAAATAACCCTGCAATAACAACAACTGACCCCTAGAAGTGAAAATGGAATTACCACATAATACCCAGAGTGGTTAAGAAGTTGAATAAAAAAATGAAAGGAAGATACAAGGAGGGAACTGCCTCTTCACAGAGAGCTGATGGAACAGAGGTACAGAACAGAAATGATCAATGTGGTGATTTGTTGTGCATGACTACTTATTTGTTACAAGGAAGGGCTTATATTGGGAGAATGGTGGGTAATTTAATAAATAATGAAAGATTTAAAAAAGGAGCACCAAGAAAACATTTTAAAAATACACAAAAGAAAAAAAGAAAAAAAAAACAAATTACAAACAGGTTAATTTGATTTCTACCATGTTAAAATTAGTATGACAAGGCTAGGGATTAGACTTGTGATTTCACTGGTATGGGGAACTCCCAGATGAAGAAATTCCCTCTGCTAATGCAGGTTGGCACCTTTTCTGTAATTTATAGTCTTAGCAAGTTGCCCAGGCCACTGAGAAGTTAGGTTACTTGCCCCAGTGTCACAGAACCAATATATAATGGAGGCAAGAACTGAACCCAGGTCTTCATGGCTACAGAGTAAGCAAACTATCCATTATGCCATGCTGCTCTTAAAACAAAATTTTTAGAAGCATCTCAAAAGTTCAGTTTCACATGCTATCCTATCTTCTTTTTATCCCTCTTTATATACTGAAATGTTCACATTTGTTGATGATCAAGTTCATAATAAGAAAGAATTTTTTGTAAACAATATAAGGAAACTGAGCTCATAAAGAGGAATTTGGAAAGAAAATCCAAAGTAATTGATCCTAAACAAGGAACTTGGCGAGACAATCTAAAAATCATTGGCCACCCACAAAAACATGATGAAACAAAGATCCTGAAACCTTTTTTGAAAATTTCAGAAAATCATACAAGAATAGTAGGAGCAGAAAAGCCATTAAGTCCTGGAATTAGAGGACAAAGGCCAGATACCACCTCCAGCGTCAGAAAGCAGTTGAACTCAGATCTTCCTGTGTCCAGCATTCTATCCCCTATCCTCTGCTGCCTCCAAAACTAGTGTGCTAGGTACTACCCAAAATGAGACAGAAGCGTCTGTGATCTCATTTGTATTGGTAATACCTCCAAAGATGCAGACCATTACCCACCCACCATCCCACTTCAGGCTCTCATCACCTCTCATATGGACTATTTCAACAGCCTCCTAAATGGCCTATGTTGCCTCAAGACTCTCCTCACTTCAATTCATCCTCTACTCAGCTACCAAAGTGACTTTCCTAAAGTGTAGGCTTGTCCATGTCACCCCCTACTCATAAATTCTAATATCTCCCTCTAAGATCAAATATAGACTCCTCTGTGTGGCATTTAAAGGTCTTAACAACTTGGCCTCATCCCACCTATCTAGCCTCATCCCTTTCCTGTACTCCACAATCCAGTCAAACAGTCCTTCTTGCTGCTGCTCACTCACAACACTCTCATATTCCATTTCCCCACTTTTTGTACTGGCTGTTCCCCCAGCCCCTAGAATGCACACCCTCCTCAGTTCTACTTCTAGTTTACTTCAAAGATCTTCTGCAGGCCTCTCCTGGTCACATTCCCCTCCTCATCTCCCCCCCTCAAACAGTACCTTCCTTTCCAAGGTTACCCTGTATCTGCTCTACATGTATGTGTTTTGCATATACCTACATATATGTGTGTGGTCTCTCTCATTAGAACGTAAGTTCCTTGAGGGCAGAGACTTTCACTAAGGTCTTTGTATCACTAATGTCTTAGGAGAAGCTTAGTAAATGCTTAAATAAAAAAATAAAATAAATGCTAAATAAAAATAAATATGTGACTTTTGTCCAGGTACTCATGTAAACTCTCTCCATGGGACTATCCAAAGCACCAGGGGCATTCCTCTAGATCTCCTGAAATTCCCAGAATGCCAGAGGAGTATGCAGATGATCAGTTATCCTCCACTCTCAATACAGGATTGGTCTATCTCCTTTTCCAGTCTTACATCTCTCTGAAGATATCCTTTATGCTGCTTCTTCCACACAACTCTTCATTAGTAATATGCTGCAGGCTATTCATGCCCTCCATTGACTTTTGGATGACCCTTGAAACTTATTCTTCAGAGACTGTGGCATTTTATGACTTGTAGCCACAGGGCATCATCTGAAGAACATTCAATTCAATCTTGAGATTCTCACTATAAATGAAACCAGAAGACAAAAGGAAAATGCAGCTAAATAGAAGGATGGCTGCCAAGTTTCCCTTGGTGAGGTAAATAAAGGTGTTCACAGAGTTGGCTTTATCATATATCCAAAAGCAACAAGAAACAATTTCATTGGTCATTATATATTGCAGAACATGTAAGCATTTGCAAATACCCCCATGAAGATTACTTCAACTCATTTGCCATTATCTGTTGCAAAGGATAAGGAGATAGCAAAATTCTACAAAGAATTTGAAGAGGGACAGCTAGGTGGTGCAGTGGATAGTGCACCTGGAGTTGGGAGGACCTGAGTTCAAATTCTGCCTCAGACACATAACACTCACTCATAACCCACAAGAGAGGATGGCAAAAACTATGTTGGAAAAAAATTGTTCAGAAGTAAATAATAACTCACTACATAAATTGCAATATAAGGTTTACAAAGTTCTTACCTCATAACAACCCTGATACTGCATTATCTCTATTTTATAAATAAGGAAACTAAGGCTCTCAAATCATAAATGACTTGTCCATGACCCGTCTGAGGGAGGATTTAAACCAAGGTATCCTGCATCCAAGTTCAGCACTGTTTCCATTATGTCCACCTGCCCCTCAATAACTCATACTGGCATACCTCTTTAATGTTTGCAAAATGCTTGTCAAAAGGTCACTGAGGTTATCAAGAAACAAAGATGATGTGCTAAGCCCACATTCTGAATGTGTTAATAAAGGATGTAGAAATGACATTTTAGAAAACAGAGAGGGCAAAGACAACTAACGTGGATGGTTTTATATGACTATGCTTATTTGTCACAAAAGAGTTTTTTATTTTGTTTTGTTTTGATTTTGGGAAGATTTGGGGAGAAGCATGGAGAAGTGAATGATAATAGTGTCTAAAAAAAGAAAGATAAAGTAAAGGGGGCCTTTGAAGCATTTTTTAAAATATACAGAAGGGGCCTGACCATTCTGGAGAATAATTTGGAACTATACCCAAAGGGCTATAAAACTGTGTATACCCTTTGACCCAGCAATACCACTGCTAGGTCTGTATCCCAAAGAGATCAAAGAAAAGGGATTGTACAAAACTGTACAAAAACATTTATAGGAGCTCTTTTTGTAGTGGCAAAAAAAAAAAAAAGGGAAACTGAATGGAGGTCTATCAATTAGGGAAGAGCTGAACAAGCCCTTCTGATGGAATACTATTGTGCTACAAGAAATGACGAGGGGGATGGCTTCAGAAAAACCTGGGAAGACTTATATGAACTGATTCAAAGTGAAGTGAGCAGAACCAGGAGATCATTGTGCACAGTAACAGCAACACTGTAATGATGACCAACTGTGAAAAACGTAGCTACTCTAATCAATACAATGAACTCTGAGTGCAGATTTAAGCTGCCTTTTTTCACTTTTTTGTTTTTTGCTTTTTTTTGAAACATGGCTAATACAGAAATACATTTTGCATGACTTCACATTTTAATATATTGCTTGCCTTCTCAATAGGTGGGAAAGGCACAGAAGAGAGAGAACTTGGAACCCAGAATTCTTTTCAAAAGAATGTTAAAAATAAATAGCTTGACAGGGATTTGGGAAATACACAAAAGGGAACAGGAGGAAGCACAGGAGACACTGGCTGAACTTGACAAACAGCAGTTCATATGAACATTTCCATATACAAAGAAGAAACCCTATTGATCACTCTCTTGAGGTTATTATGTCACTGCTTTTTCCTGGTTTTCCTCCTACCTGTATGACTGTTCTTTCTCAGGCTCCTCTGCTATATCTTCATCTAAGTCACACTCCCTACAGTGTCTCTCAAATCTCTGTCCTGGGCCCACTTCTCTTTTCACTCTATACTATCTTGCTTGGTGATTTCATCAGCTCCAATGGGTTCAATTCTCATCTCCCTGCAAATAATTCCCAGGTCTGTATACCCAGCCCTAATTTCTCTCCTGCGGTTATGTCTCACATCACCAACTGCCTTTTAGGTATCTTTAACTGGAGGTGCCATAGGCATCTCAAGCCCTATATATCCAAAAGAGAATTCATTATATTTCTCCCCAAACTCTTGTCCCTTTCCCAAACTTCCCTATTATTGCTGAGGGCAACATTATCCTTCCAGGTCATCCTCAATTCTTCTCTTGCATTCAATACACATGTCCAATCGGCTGCCAAGTCTTGCTGGTTCTCCTTTCACAACGTCTCCTGTAGATACACCCTTCTCTCCACTCCCACAGCTGCCACCCTGGTACAGGCCCTCATCACCTCTTCCCTGGACTCCTGCAATAGCCTTCTCATAGGTCTTGCCTCAACTCTCTCCACACTCCAATCCATCCTCCACTTAGATGCCAAAGTGATTTTCTAAGGTATGAACCTGACCATGTCACATACCAACCTTTAAGAAACTCCAGGGCCTCCCAATTATTACCTCCAGGATCAAATACAAAATCCTCTGTTCAGCTTTTAAAGCCCTTTGTAACCTGGCCCCTTCCTCTCTTTCAAGTCTATACTATACTCCCTTCACGCACTCTATAATGAAGCAACACTGGCCTTCTTGTTCTTCACATCCGACACTCCTATCTCCAGACTGCGCTTTTTCACTGGATCTCCCTCATGCCTCAGATGCTCTCCCTCCTCCCCTCTGCCTCCTGGCTTTCCTGGCTTCCTTTAAATCCCACCTTCTGCAGGAGGCCTTTCCTACACTCCCACTGTTAGGGCCTTTCCTCTGGGATTACCTTCCATTTATACTGTATACATCTTATATGTACAATTTTTTGCATGTTGTCTCCACCATTTGAACATGAATTCCTTGAGGCCAGGGATGGTGTTTGTGCCTTTTTTCGCAGGCAAAGAACTTTGCATTCTAGTCTAGCTAAAATGGCTTTCTTACTGTAACTCATAAACATCACTCCATCTCCATCTTCACAGTGGCTATCCCCCATGCCCAGAATGCATCCCTTACTCACCTCCACCATTTAGACGCCCTGTTCTCCTTCAAACTCAGCTCAAGTGCTACCTTCTACATGAAGCCTTTCCTAATATCCCCCAGCTACTATACTACTGCATCCCCCTCCTCCCAAAACTATCTTGTGTATTTCTACAGATGTACATGTTGCTATCTGAAACTAAACTGCAAGCTATTTGAAGGCAGGGATTATCTCCTAAAAAGATTTTTTTTGTAATTTTTGTATCCTGAGAACTTGGCACAGTGTATGACACCTCGTGTTTATAAATGCTTCTTCATACATTCAATTTAATTACTTCACAAATGCATGTTGTCTACCTAATGAGACTATAAGCTCCCTGCAGATGTCTTCTCTTTCCTTTCTGGGCCCTTTGCTCTTTGTTTGAAATGCCCTTCTCCCCTTATCTTGTTAATACCCTACCCATTCTCCTAGGCCCAGTTCAAACATGCCCACCTCTTCCAAGAAACCTACTGAATATTCTCTCACCCCTTCTCTAAATTCCTATAGCTCTTTCTCTACCCCCATTTGATGGTACTTAGCTCATTTACAAAAATAACCATAAGGACAAATGTATTATTTCCCATATTAAATCATAAGTGCCTTGAGGGCAAGCTCTCTATCTTTTGCAATTTAGCTTCTTATACAATCCTTGGTTCAGAGCCTGGAACACAGAAGATACTTAGTAAATGTTTGCTGACTGAATAAAAATGCTTACAAATGCCCTTCAGGGATACGTATTACCTTCCCAGAAAATGAGAGCTATCTCTCTCATTATTAGACAAACCAGAGAAATTTTAATACTTTATAGAGAAATTTTTCAAACTCTTCTTAAGTATTTGTCTTCCTACAGACAGTATCCAGTTTAAAGGTATCTGCATTAATCCCAAACTTCTGATAGGCACTATCACCACCACTGCAATACAGGTAAATCAATCTAACAGACGATGATTTAATGCCACATGTTGTCTAGCAAAGCTATTACTACATGCTATAATATGATAGGTAATAACTGTTCTCTACTGATCTCATTTTAATTAATTCTACTCTAACAAACCTGGTAATTTTAGACTGAAACATTAACATTTTTTCCATTAAAGCATCTTATATACAGCAAGTTTCATAAACTCCTTTTATTTTATAGAAGTTCTGAGGCAGAATTCCAAAATAATATGCCAAATTAAGAGATGAACTGATCCAGAAGGCCTAACTTCAACTGCCTTTCAATAATCATTAAACCATTTGCATACAATGAGAAATGTAAAAAAAAAAAAGTCTTACCTCCTGCAACAACGAAATGGCTTATGGCATTTTTATTTCGGTATACATTCAGACCAGTGCTCACTGTGCTAGAGAGGTGGAGGAAAAAAAGCAAGAAAAAAATATGCTTTTGAGCATACTGACAGTACTCTCCCAACATCATGACCATAAAATTCCTCAACCCAATTACTTCTTGGTAATATTTTTAAGGAAAGGAATAGGCTATCATTTTCATTCATTAACCCTACTCCAGGCTCTTTGTCACTTTTCTATTGTGTTTCAGGGTCTCTATGTACCCCAAGCCCTATAATATGGACTCTGAAAAATAAAACTATTACTATTGACTGCCCTTCAGTTTATTTGTCAAGTCTCTCCATAAGGAGCTTAGAGGTTGAAAATGAAGAAATTAAGTTACATACAGATTGTTTGCCCCCTTTATATTAAGAATCTTTAAACCACATTAGTAACAAATCCACATGCATCTGGTGCTGAGCACAACACACCCTACATAGACAAACACACTTTACTGAGAAATAAGCACTATAAGCTTTTTTTATGTTGTTGTTGTTTTTAAACAGTCATAAAAATATATTAATCCCAATAATACAAAGCTGATGAACTGGTCCAATCATTCTGGAAAACTGGGAATCATAATGAAAAAGTCATTACACTGTTTATACCTTTTGACTCCACTATTGGATACAAGGAGGTAAATGTCAGAAAGAAAGAAAGAAAGGTCTTATAACAAAATATTCATAGTAGCACTATTCGTGATAGCAAATAACTAAAAAATGGATGCTGGCAACTGAAGAATAGCTGGACAAATTGTGGAATATGAATCTGATGTGATATTACTGTGTCATAAAAAATAAAAATGAGGAACTCAGAGAAATGCAGAAAGACTGGTATAAAATGAAGAAAGCAAAACCAAAAAGATACACAATGACCACAATAACATAAACAACACTAAAAAGCCGTTAGATCCTGAAGAAATACAAGAAAAAAATCTGTCTCAGAGAAACAGGGATGGATGCTTTTTTCCTTTGAAGAGACAGTAGCTATGGATTTGGAAAGTAGCATATACTGTCAGATACGGTCCCTATGTCAGTTCACTAATAAAGCAATAAAACTTTTTTTAAAAACTGCATTACTGAAAGTGTTCTGAGATAACACGTTCTCACCACTATTCAAAGAGAGCTTACTTAAACAGAGTCACAAAGATGGCTGTTCTCCAACTCCACCGCCAGCCATATCGGATGAATCCTCGAATGGCAGCTCTGTGGGCAGATTGCTGAAATGGAAGGAAGGTTTGATTAGCTCTCTAATATATTTTCCTTATACTCAGAACTATGGTAGAAGAGTGAGCCACAGACTAGGAGGTACTCCTATGTGACACATATGTAAAATATACTAAAAAGAGGGTCTATAGAATCATTACCTTAACCAAGGGAAATGGTTTTTCTCTGCTACTAATTCTAAAAACATGACTATGTTACACATGATTATGGGGGGACAGCACATTTTTTAATTAGCAATGTCTCATACAGAGTTGTTAAATATACTTGCCATCTAACACACACGAGATGAACTAATTATGGGCCTGTTATTTATGGACTACTGATGGAACTGACCATTCCATCAGGTAGTACATGGAAAACTTGGAAATACTGATGCCAATCATAAGTATTTACTGAGCATCTATGTGTGAAATACAAAAATATAAGACATGTTTCCTGCCCTCAAGAAATTCTAGTTGGGGGAAATGACATATACATAGGAAAACAGTAAAGTATTAAGTGTTATTTTGCATGACAGAACCTAAAGTCTTATGATAAATCAGAAAAATTAGAGATTAATGTGGTCTGGAATACTCAGGGAAGGTTTCATGGAGGAGTAAGACTCTTGGAGATTGAAAGATTGGTAGGATTTAGATAGATGAAAGAGACTCAGAAAGGAATCATGAGCAGAGGACACAGTATAAGCAAAAGCAGGACTGAGAATGAATGAGGTGCCTGGAGAGAAAGAGAGGTGACTAGCCTCACTTGAACCAACTCAGCTCAAATATTTACACCTATGTCCATGTGTACTTCCTGGTGTTTACTTAGCAGGTAAAATGGATTTTCCTCTTCCTGACCTTGTTAGCTCAACTTCCCTCCCACACAGCAGTTCAATATTTAACTGGATTAGACATTTCTAATCACATCACCCAGACAGGAAACCATTTGGTAAAACAATTCTCAAAATTGGTTAGCAACCAAATCCTATTATACATCACTCATTCACACATACATACCACAGCATCAAACCGGTTGTAATAAATCTCTGCATGGCTCTGAGAAATATAACGTTGTTTGGCATGATAAAAAGCGGGTATGCCACCATATATCCAACCAATGATTGCGCCTGAAGCTGCTGATCTGTAAATATAATCAATTTCCTCTGGGACTGGCAGGCGTTCACTGAAACAATAATGAAAGACAAAGTTCCTTGGGTTTAACTCTTGGAAATTACTAATCAACTCCCCTAACACTCTCTAAATGCAAACAGCCTTGTATTTCTATTAATTGTGACTCTCACAGAACATATTAAAATGTATTTAAATGTCCTTAAGTCTAGAATTCAGCTCTTGATGATCATCCTCTTTAATATTATCACTAAAATACCAGTCTCCAGAACAAAATTATAAAGAATTTGTGTTAGAGAATTCATTATTTCCCTTATTTGAATTTCAACTTTAAACGAGTAATTGCCCAATACAATTGAGTTTCCAGAATGTTCACTAAAATCCAGGGGTATAAAAAGAAACCTGGATATTTTTGTCTAACTTTTATCAAATATAGAAAACATATACAGTAAAATGACACTAATCCAGACTAACTGGTAGGGGAAAAGAAATCTGAATTAGATTTTTTTTTTCAAAGAAGATTTTACTTTTAAGTGAACAAAGTAAGCTGAAGCAAAGTATATCCTGACAGGGCTGACTAATATCATAATAGGTTTGTCTGTAATTAGCAAGATCCACTTATTACATCTGTAGACAATTAATGTACTTACTTTGAACAAAGTTATTCTCTTAAGCACACCAAATACCCTCTCTCCACCTTCTATTTGTTTAGAAGAGCCTTTCCTCAGGATTAATGAAAATACAAATTCCAGCCTGGTCTATGCTCAAAGGATCATAGATTTAGAACTAGGAGAGGTACCAGAAGTCATCTAATCCAATCCCCTCAATTTTTAAATTGAGGAAACTGAGACCTAGAGAAGTAATTACAAATTTCTGAAATCTGAATTAATGAGGTTTCAGTGTAAATGTATAGAGTACTTGCATTTGCAATGAAGAAGTTTTAATTCCTCAGCATACCAAAAATCTTAGGATTTAGAGATAGTAAGGATCTTTGATGTCATCTAGTCCAATCTCATTTTACAAATGAGAAACTTAAGACACAAATTTAAGAAGTGATGTGCCCAGTAGGTGGAGCCAAGATGGCAAAGAAAAGGCAGCAACTTGCCTGAGCTTTCCCTAAAACCCCTCCAAACATCTTTGAGTAATGCCATAAAACAATTCCTGAAGCAGCAGAACTCACAAAAGGACAGGGTGAAATAATTTTTCAGCCAAAGACAACTTAGAAAGTCAGCAGGAAAGATCTGTCACACCTGAGTGAGAGTGGACCACAGTTCAGCACTGGAGCAGACCAGGCCCCAGCAAACCAGGAGAAGGCTTTGAAAGTCACTGAATCAGCAGTAAGAGTGGCTGCTTCTGTAGCCCTCAGTCCACAGACAGTAAAGGGGTTGGACAACAGATCAGAAGATTACAGGGTTCTCTTTGCTGGCACTGGGGACAGGACTCTGGTGCTTTGTCCATACTCAGATCCAGGTTGTAACCCTGGGTGGCAGTCCCAGGGTGAGGAGCAGCACTAGTGGTCCTAGTAATAAGGATAAATGTTTACTTTCCTACATGGGATGATACTTGTAACTCACAAAAACTTTCTCATTGTTAGGGCAGTTAGGAATACATATAGACAGATGGCACAGGTGTGAGCTGAATATGAAGGGATGATATCTAAAAAAATAAAATTAAGGAGAAAGAGGAATGCACTGGGAAAAGAGGAAAGGGAGGGGAAGAATAGGGTATATTATCTCACATAAAAAGGCAAGAAAAAGCTTTTACAGTGGAGGGGAAGATGGGGGAGGTGGGAGAGGGAGTGAGTGAACCTTACTCTCATCAGAATTGGCTCAAACATACACACTCAATTGGGTATAGAAATCTATCTTACCCTACAGGAAAGTAGGAAGGGAAGTAAATAAGAGAAAGGGGAGGAAGGGTGATAGAAGGCAGAGCAGATTGGGGGAGGTAGTAGTCAGAAGCAAAACACTTTTGAGGAGGGATAGGGTGAAAGGAGAAAGAATAGAATAAATGGGGGTGGGGGAAATAGCATGGAAGGAAATACATTTAGCAATCATAACTATGAAAAAACTTTTGAAGCAAGTTTCTCTGATAAAGGCCTCATTTCTCAAATACATAGAGAAATGAAGGAAATGCATTTAGCAATCATAACTATGAAAACATTTTTGAAGCAAGTTTCTCTGATAAAGGCCTCATTTCTCAAATATATAGAGAATTGAGTTAAATTTGTTAAAAATAGGAGCCATTCCCCAATTGATAAATGATCAAGAGACACTATGAACAGTTTTCAGATGAAATAATCAAAGTTATCCACAGTCATATGAGAAGGAACTCTAAATGGCTATTGACTGGAGGAACGCAAATTAAAACAATTCTGAGATATTTTCTCATATCTATTACATTGGCTAATAGGCCAGAAAAGGAGAATGACAAATGTTGGAGGCAGTGTGAGAAAAATGAGACATTAATGCACTGTTGGTAGAGTTGTGAACTAATTCAACCATTCTTTGGAGCAATTTGGAACTATGCCCAAAGGGTTATAAAACTGTGCACACCCTTTGACCTAGCAGTGCCACAACTATGTCTGTACCCAAAGAGATTTTTTTTTAAAAAAGGTAAAAAGACCTATATAGCCAAAAATATTTATAGCAGCTCTTTTCTGGTGGCAGGGAGTTGGAAATTGGGAGGATACCCATCAATTGGGGAATGGTTGAACAAATTGTGCTATGTGGAATACTATTGTATTGTAAGAAATCCTGAGCAGAATGCTCTCAGAAAAACCTGGAAAGGCTTACATGACCTGATACAAAGTGAAATACACTGTGTACAAAGTAACAGCAAAATTGTAATATGTTCAGCTACGAATAACTTAGCTATTCTCAGCAATACTAAGAAGGATTTGTGAAGGATTTGTGATGAAAAATGCTATCCATCCCCAAACAAAGAACTGATGGTGTCTGAATACAGATTGACGCATACTTTTTTAACTTCATTTTTCTTGAGGGGTTTTTTTTTTGGTCTATGTTTTCTTTCACAACATGATTAATATGGAAGTATGTTTTGCATGACTACACATGTATAATCTATATCGAATTGCTTGCCTTCTCAATGAGCGGGGTTAGGAGAGAGGAAGGGAGAGAATTTGGAACTCAAAGTTTTAAAAGTTAAAAATTGTTTTTACATGTAACTGGGGAAAAAATAAAATATTAAATAAATTTAAAAAAAAAAGAAGTGATGTGCCTAAATTCACATGGGCAATCAAAGACTAGTAGAATCTGAGCTGGAAATTACCTCAGACACCAACTGGTCCCTACCTTGTGCTCCACAATATCCCCAAGTGTTCACCCAACCTATGCTGGAAGGTCTCCTCTACTATTCCTAATCTCCTCACATTCCTCCTTCGTTGAGGACTCTTTATTCACAAAGTGATACTCTTCATCCTCATCCCAAGAGCCAAAGTCTCCATATAAACCAGAGTTAAGATATGAATTTAGATCTTTTGATTCCAAATCCAGCATTCTTGCCACTGTTAACTACTACTACTACTATTAAGAATTAAGACATTTATTTGAAGTTTGGCTGGGCTGCTAATTAACATGACATAATTTTCCTAGGCCTCCTCACTCTTTTAGATAAAATAATTATTGCTTTTCATGATTCTCCCAGCTTCAAAATTCTACGTTTTTATAAGTTACAGATGATCCACCATCATGCTGACAAAAATTAGAGATAAGAACAATAAATCCCTGTTCTCCTGTTTATCACCTGAGGGAACCTTTGCAGATGATTTAACTTTTTTGGGTTTCTTTTTTATCATGATAACGTGGGGGTTGAACTAGATTATCTTTAGGATCTCTTCCAGTTCCTATAGCATATGATTCTGTGAAACTTTTCTAGTTTCTTGGGTCACAGGATGTCAGGTAAATATTAAAGGAATTGTGATTCGAAGTCTTTTATTCTTAACAAAGCTATCAACTGTACCTGGATGTTACTTGGAAACTTGGATAGGCTTGTCAAACAATTACTGACCTGCAAGGTCTGTATATCTTATAATGAAATCACAGGGGGCAAATATGAAAAATAAAAACCAGCAACCAAGCGGGAAAAGTTTAGTAAGAGGTAGGTGGGAGTGAGAAACAGATTAGAATCTCAAAGTTCTATTTAAGGCCCATGATAGACTGTACGGAGGCTAAAGCCTATTCTGCAGCTTTTTTTCCCCCTTTTTTTTGGAGGGGGGGGAGAGGAGCAATAGAGGTTAAGTGACTTGCCCAGGGTCACACAGATAGTTAAGTGTCAGGTGTCCGGGTCGCATTTGAGCTCAGGTCTGCTTGACTGCAGGGCCGGTGCTGTATTCACTGCACGACCTGGCTGCCCCTTCTGCAACTTCTCCAATGAAAAATTATTATTATAAACTGTTACGTATTAAATCATTATATTTACTCTCTGACAAAGAGCTCCTTGAGGCGGTCCCATCCTGACTCTGGGTAAAACGGACCCTTAATGTGAGGAGGCAGAGTCTTCTCAGGGGAGCGGCTAGAGTTAGTTGCAATGGTGCTTTCCTCAGCAAGGACCCTTGGGAAAGGGACTAGAGTCTCCCATGTTCTTCTCAAACAAGTCTTCTGGGGTCTCTCCATCCTAGTTCTCGGCACTATGAAAACATAGTCAAACGACAAAAAGTTAGTGCCATGGAGGTCTTGGCAGTTGGGATAAAAAAAAGTAGGGGCAAAAATAGGAAAGCAGGAAGGGAATAATGGGGGTAGGAAGAAAGAAGAAAAAGAGAAAGAAAAGAGAGAAAGAGAAAGGGAGAGAGGAACGGAGCAACAAAGAGAAAGACAGAAAGAGGGAGAAATGGAGAGAGAGAGATAAAAGGGTTGAGAGAAACAAGAGAGAGAGAATAAAACACAAAAAGAGGAGAATGAAAGAAACAAAATGAAAGAGAAAGGAACAGAGAAAGGAAGAGAAAAAGGTAAAAAGAAATAAGAAAAAGAAGCAAAGTAAAACAGAAAAAAAGGAAAAAGAGAAAAGGAGAGAGAGAGAAGGGGAAGAGGGAGATAAACAACGAGAAAGAAAGGGCAAAAAAGAAAAGGAAGAAAAAGAAAAACCAAAACCCCAACAACCAAAAATTCCAAATGCCTGGAAGAAAAAAATAACTACATTTGGTACCTCCCAGCATTTACATGGGCTTGTGCTGGCTATCCTCCAGCTGTGTTTCTATGTGTGTATGTCACACACACATACATGCGCACACACACAAGCACTATCCTCTGGCTGTGTTTCTATGTGTGTATGTCACCACACACACACACACTATCCTCCGCTTGTGTTTCTATGCGTGTATGTCACACACACAAACATGCACACACACACGCACTATTCTCCAGCTGTGTTTCTATGTGTGTATGTCACACACACAAGCGCACACACGCGCGCGCGCGCACACACACACACACTATCCTCCGGCTGTGTTTCTATGTGTGAATGTCTCTCTCACACACACACACACACACACACACACACACACATTTGTCTTTTATTGCTCGAATGCAGCCACGGCTCCCCGTCCCCAGCCCACAGCCGGCTCTCACCTTCGCGTCCTCCCCAGCTCGGAGGGTCCTGGAGAAGCGCCGGACTAGGAGGGTCAGGATGGCCAAGGTTCCAAGTCCGCCTCATACATTTACTAACTGTGTGGCCTTGGGGAAAGTCACTTACCCTCTCTAAGCTTCAGTTTCCCCATCAGTTTAAAAAAAAAAAACCCGAAAGGCGCTGGACGAGACGACCTCCAAAATCCCTTCCGCCTCTACGAAACGCTTTCTACCGGCTTCTCGGGTATGACCCGGAAGGTCTTCCCAGGGACAGACCGGAAGTCCAGCGGTTGGGGTCGACGCAGAGATGCGGCTGCGCAGGTCGCCGTCGCCTAGTGATCGAAGGTGCATGCGCGTTCTGTCTTGCGCGTTCCGCTCGTCGCTGCAGCCCTGCCCTTGTGGAATTTATGGAAACTTAGAGCCTGTGTGATCCAACACCCCCTTTACAGATGAGGAAACTGAAGAGGTGATTACCCTAGGCCACAGGTGCAGATCTGAGATTAGAAAGAAACGGGGCTTCGGACCCGTCTATTCCAGAACTCGTTCCCCTCTTCGTAGATTAGATAAAGCATTTATTAAGCGCTTGCTGTGTGCCTGGAGCCTGTAGAGGAGGGAGGAGCAGAAACCCAAAATGGACGGGTCAACACCCTTTACCCCCCAGAAGTTCGTCCCCTACAGCACCTTGGCATTCCAGGCCTTGTGCATTCATTGAGAGGAAGGTGCAGGTGAATGCAGCACTGCCCTAGAAAATGGGATTTATTCTCCTTTGTTTTATTTAGTTGACAAGTGTTTGTTTTCTGTCCTTCCTATTTCCAAAGGGGGTGGGGATGGGAAAGGGGGAAGAGAATAACAAAACCCTTGTTACAAATACCCAGAGTCAAGCAAACCAAATGCCCACATTGGCCATGTTCAGAAATATGTGTCCCATTCCACATACAGAGCCCATTCCTTTTGTTAGGAGATGGGTAGCATCTTCATCATCACTCTTCTGCTATCCTGGTTGGACATTGCATTGGCCAGAGTTATTAAGTCTTTGAATAATAGCTAACATTCATACGGTGCTTACCATCTGCTGGGTACTGTGCTAAGCACTTTACCATTATTGTTACCTTTGATTCTCATGTAACTCGGGGAGGCAAGTGCTATTATTATGCCTATTTTTATTTTTTTAATTTATTTTTAATTTTCAACATTCACATCTATAAGATTTTGAGTTTTAAATTTTCTCCCCCTCCTACTTCTTCCCCCCCCCCACGACAGCATGCAATCTAATATAGGCTCTACATACACATTCATGTTAAGCATATTTTCCCATTAGTCATGATGTAAAAAATAATTAAATCTAATGGGAGGAACCACAAGAATGAAGCAATAAAACAAAACAATAAAGGAAAAGAAGAGCAAATAGTATGCTTCCATCTGCATTCAGACTCCATATTTCTTTCTCTGGGTATGGATAGCAGTTTCCATCATGAATCTTTTGGAGTTGTCTTAGATTTTTGCTGTGAAGAGCTAAGTTTATCAAAATCAGTCATCCCATAATATTATGCCCCTTTTTACAGATGAGGAAACTGAGGCAAAGAGGTTAAGTGATTTGCCCAGTCACACAGCTAGTATCTGAGGCCAACACTGTGCCATCTAACCCTTTTCAAAGTTGTTCATTTTTACAACGTTAATCACGTCTGAGATTAAACTTGTCATTTTCACACCATAACTCATCCATCAGTTTCCTGTCTCAACTTCTCGTTATTTTTAGCCATACCTGTAAACATCTTTGGGACTTTATTCCGTCCTCTCTTCCCTACTCAATCAAGCAATTACCTGGCAGAGTGAACTGAATCAGGCAAGTAAGAAATAGATAACTGTCCGGGGCAACTAGGTAGCACAGTGGATAGAGCACCGGCTCTGGAGTCAGGAGGATCTGAGTTCAAATGCAGCCTCAGACACTTTACACTTACTAGCTGTGTGACCCTGGGCAAGTCACTTAACCCCAATTACCTCTCCAAAAAACAAAACAGAAATAGATAACCATCTATTCTCTCTGTTGTCAGTTATTGTTCCATCCACCCCAGCAAAATGTCCTTATAGAATATTTGTCCATATAGAATATGTAGTGTGGGCTTGACAGTAGCTAGAACCAAAAAGGAAGCAGGTCTCTCAAGTATTTTTAGAAACCGTGGGTGGGTCATATGAATGGAGGTTAGCTAGATGGATAGAGTGCTGGGACTGGAGTCAGGAAGACTCCTTTTTGTTAGTTCAAATCTGGTCTCAGAAAATTAGTAGCTGTGTGACCCTTGCCAAGTCACTTAACTCTGTTTGCCTCAGTTACCTCATATATCAAATGAGCTGGAGAAGGAGATGGCAAATCACTCCAGTATCGTTGCCAAGAAAACTCCAAATGGTCTCATGAAGAATCTGAAATGACTCAACAACAAAAATAATGAATGGACATAACATAGTACAAAGAATTTTGTTTTATTATTTGCTGTTTCTTAAATTGATCCATGTAAAATTATCTCTCAGGACAGTTGCAGTCTTTCTTCCTTAATTTCTCTCATCCATTCAAGTTAGTATGTTTATTCCTTTTCCTTGAAAAGAAAAAATAAAACCTCCAGAAATGTTAGTTTTCTGGAGAGAGAGAAAGTGTACATTTCAATGCTAGCTAAAACAGATGAAAATGTTTAAACAAAAAATGTTTACATTTCGCATACATGCAGATACACAACTACATCTCCTATGTACATACAAATAGATAATCCACACAAAATGTAATAGATTTTTTTAATTGTATGTACTTCTGAATTCATATAGTAATGTTGATTACATTTGCATTGATCTAGCCACACACTTTTTTGGCTCACTTTTCCTTGAATTCCGTTACAAAAAATATTTGGCTCTGATAAGCAGATTGTGCATAGGACAGAAGAAAGTTAACTGTCCTTCACATAGGGAATGAATCTAAAGAACCCATAAACCTGGCCTCATTACTACTCTTTTAACTAAGGCAACTGGTTATGAACACACACACACACACACACACACACACACACACACACACACACACACCCTTAAACACTGCTTTTGCCTCTCAAAAAAATGGACACAGAGAAACTCATATATACTTCTAAACATGTAATACAAATGCATAGAAATACAACCTACGCACTAATATCCTTTAAAAGGAAAATAGTATATCATTGTTCTCCCCAAGAGGGTCCCCCTCTTAACCACTATCCAGAGAATAGCACAAATACCTGTAGTACCACCATACTACAGGATCCTCTAGTTCATACTATGAAATATTGGAAGAGCCCTGGAGATACTAGGATTACCTTAACATTAAAAAATCCAAAGCAGAAGATCTTGTGGTGCTTGTCTCTGAAATGAGGGTATATAACAAAAGCACTGATTAGCCTACTTGGATCCAATAGTACTAGTATGGTGATTATGGAGTACCTTTCTTGCCCATAACTGGTTGGCACACAGAGGCGTGTTATATATTGGCCATGGCAAAAATTGTAAATGGCATAGAGAAATTCATCTTACATTCAATCTAAATATATCTAAAACAAACTATATGTTTTTTAAAATCAGTTTTTATTGACATCTTCTATTTCTTACATCATCAGTTAATTAAAGTATCCCTCTCTCTCCATCTCCCAGGGAGTCATCTTATACAAAATAATATTTTTAAAGAGAAAAAAAAATCAACACAGCTAGTTGATACATAGAAAAAAGTTTGAAAACATACAATATGTAAGACTTGTGGGCCTCCCACCTCCACAAAGCAGTAAATTGGGGGTGTACTCTCATTATTCCACATTTGAGTCCTGCTTGATCTTTGTAATTTTGTTACATTCTCTTTTGATTTTCTGGTGTGTAATTGTTCTTTTCATGTACATTGTTGTAGTTATTGTGTATATAGTTATATTGGCTCAACTTATTTCTCTCTGCTTCTCTTTATGAAGATCTTTCCATGCTTCTCTGTATCACATACATTTCTTACAGCATAGTAATATTCCATATTATTCATGTACCACAATTTGTTTTGCCATTCCCCAATTAATGGGGTACTTATGTGTCCAACTCTTTACTATCACAAAAGAAAAGTTCTGCTATAAATATTTTGGTGTATATAGGGACTTACTTTTTAATGGCTTCCTTAGGATATAAATTTAGTAATGGATTCTCTGGTTCAAAGGGTATGAACATCTTAGTCACTTTATTTGCATAATTCCAGGTTGCTTCCCAAAATGTTTGTACCATTTCACAACTCCACCAATAATGTATTAGTGTGCCTATCATTCTACACGCTCTCCAACATTGAATATGGCCATTTTTGTCATTTTTGCCAGTTTTCAAGGCATGAAGTGAAATCTCAGGATTGTTTTGATTGCATTCTTTCATTTATTAATTATTTGGATCATTCTTTCATAGGGTTGTGAATAGTTTTTGAAAAGTTTATTCTCATACTTTGAACATTTATCAATTAGGGAAAGTCATACTGTATTTATATGACTAATAATCATATATATCTGCAAGACATATATATGTCTGTGTATATACACACACATAAATATATATAAGCATATATGTAGTTTATATATCTTAAGTGCCAAATTCTTATCAGAGAAGTTTGACACAATTTCTTTTTCCCCATTTGACTACTTCGCTTCTTATCCTAGATGCATTAATGTTGTCTTTGCAGAAGTTTTTTTAGTTTCATATAATTGATGTTACTTATTTTACCTTTTGTAATTGCCTCTATCACTTGTTTGGTTTAATATTTATTTCCTACCCATAACTGTAAAATGTATATGATCTACTTCTCTTCTAATTTTAATAGTATAATTTTTAATATTAAGGCTTTAGGTTTAGAATATATTATAGAATATGGTATAAGGTGTTGATCTAAGCCCAATTTCTGACAGACTGCTTTCCAGTTTTCCCAGCAGTTTTTTATAAATAAGGAAACTTTTTGTTGGTAATTTGTTTTCCACTTTATCAAACACTGGGTTATTGATTTCCATAGTTTCTGATTCTCCTTTGCCTAGTCTGTTCCATTGATCTATCTATCTGTTTTTAAAATAATACCCGATGATTTTGATGACTGTTGCTTTGTAATATGGTTTGAATATTAAAATATAAAAATATACATATTTATATATATAATTTAGAACATAGT